CTAGCGTCCCTACAATGGCAAGTCGAGAAAATCTACCTAGACCGTAAGCAGCTTAGCCGCCCTAGCTCATCTCGTCGCACGAAGCGACAAGCCAGACTTTTGCTTATGTCACTCGTGTTTAGGTAACAAAGCCCGTAAATGCCAGCAACCACGCAGTTTCTCCGCCGAGAAGCAATAAAACTTCCAAGCCGGCCGGTGACGGCGACTAACGTCGTCTCATCTATATTAGGGGTTATGATGCTGAGACCCAGTTCTTAGTTGATACTAGGGCGGAAGTCACTGTCGTTCCCTCTATGCCAGGTGAGCCTACAGCTTCTTTGTCTACAGGCCTAAGTGCTGCCAATTTTACACCAATTGCCACCTACGGTACTCAAACGCTTACCCAAAACCAACGTAATGGGCGAACGTTCCGCTGAGTGTTCACCGTCGCTGCAGCCCCCATTACCATCAACGGCGTTGCTTTTTTAGGAAGTTCGGCCGCTTGGTCAATGTGAAAGGCCAGGTGATAGTGGACACAGCAACAAAACTCCGTGTACGTTGCACCACTGCCGACATCGCATTTAGAACCCCGGTCTACGTCATTCCTCATACCTCGGCAGATTACGCCAACCTCTTATCTCAGTATTCCAAGTTGAAAGCGGTCTAGCCCTTGTATCCCAATTCACCCACCACCTACAGGTGCATGGCCCACCCGTTTCATGTCGTCCGCGTCGACTATCGCCAGAAAAACTAAAGGTAGCTAGGGCGGAGTTTGAGCACGTGCTCGAGCTTGGAATAATCCGTCCTTCCGACAGCCCTTGGTCCTCTCCCCCTGCAGATGGTCCCCAAGCAATCTAGTGACTAGCGCCCTTGCGGTTCTTAACGCGCACTCAGTCAGCTAACCGTCCCAGATGGGTACCGCATCCAACACACACCTAACCTTACGGCATGCCTCACAGGTAAGAGGCGCCTCAGCAAGATCGACCTGGTTCGCGCCTATCACCAGATACCCGTAGAAGAAAAGCACATCCCTAAAACAATCGGCATCACACTTCCAAGTTGTTTGAAATGTTAAGAATGCCATTTGGACGGTGCAAAGCCGCACAATTCTTTCACCCCTTCAGTCACTACGTCACCTGTGGTTTAGACTTCGCTTATTCCGGCCTTGATGGTAATTTAGTGGCCAAGTTATCGGCACGAGAGCACCTCGAGCACCTTGAAACTCTCTTCCAGCGCTTGACCCAATAAGGTGTCACCGTCCACCCGCCTAAGTGAGAAATCGGTAAATCAACGGTAGAATGCCTAAGTCACCTCGTTTCATCGTCTAGTATCGATGTCCTTCCTGATAAGATCCAGGCAATTAGTAACTTCCCAACTCCGACTTCGTTCCAGCGCCTCCGTCGATTTTGTGGTTGAGTCAACTACTATCGACGCTTCATTCCGTGCTGCGCTCAGCTCATGCACCCTCTGACTAACCTAACCAGAGGGTATGAACGTAAGTTGGCTTTCCTGACACAGCACAAACAGCTTTCGCTGCGCTGAAGGTTGCTATCTCCAACATAGCCCTCCTCGCTCATTCCGAATCCACTGCACCCACTTCCATTACGACTGATGCTTCAGACGTCGCAGTAGAAGCCGTCCTCCAACAACACGTTGGTGGGCAATGGCAACCCTTTGGGCTCTTCCCCAAACGCCTGCAGCCAGCGGAATCCCGCTACAACAGGTTTGGCAGAAAACTGCTCGGCATTTACCTAGTCATTAGTCACTTCCGGCACACACTCGAAGGCCACGATTTCACGGTCTACACTGACCACAAACCCATCATCTTCGCCTTCAATTCTGCTTCGACAAATATTCACAACGGGAAAAGCACACCTAGGCTTTGTCACGCAGTTCACTGTTGACACACGTCATGACTCAGGTGTCGAAAAGCCCACGTCGACGCTCCCTCACGCATAAACTCTCCACTCCAGTCGTTGCCTACTGTCGAACATACCGCCATGGCATCGGCTCAAGCACAAGATTTAGCCAAACAATGCACTCTACAGTCCACTCCCATGCCTCTGCAAATTGTTCCTCTCCAAACCGCGTAAGGAACCATTCGCGGTGACATTTCCATAGGTTGTCCTGGACCCTTCATGCTCGTCTCCTTCAGACGCACAGTGTTTGCCGCAATGCACTCACTATCACATCCCGGTATCCATGCACCTTGGAAACTGGTCACCGAAACTTCTGTTTGGCTAGGCGTAAGCAAAAATGTTCGTACCTAGGCTCGCGCCTGTCTTCAATGCCAGCGCTCTAAAGTACATTGTCACACCCGCAGTCCTCTTGGTTCATTTCCTGCCCCGGACTCTCGGTTCTCGCATGTACATGTAGACCTGGTAAATCAATCACCTCCTTCACGCGGACTCGTATACATTCTTACATGTGTCGACCGCTTAACCAGAGGGCCAGAAGCCATTCCGGTAACAGACTGCACAGCTGAGACTGTTATTTGGGCCTTATTAGATTGGTGGGCCTCGCACTACGGAAGCCCATCCACCAATGCACCTGACCGAGGAATGCTCTTCGACTCTCCACGATTCGACACTTTCTGCTACTTTTTAGGTTGTCGCCGCATTCATACCACAGCGTATCACCCAGCTACCAACGAGTTATTTGAACGCCTCCATAGACAGTTTAACGCCCTGCTTCTGCACCTCCTCTGGCCCTAGCTGGAGCGAAAACATTTCGCTCTTAATCTTAGGATTTGCAGCGGCATCAAAGCCGACTTGCAATGTGCACCAGCAGAGCTGGTTTACGACACAACGCTAAAGCTGCCAGGAGAGTTCATTTCACCTCCCGCATCGTCGGGTTTGCCTCCGCTTAACTTTGCGTCCTCCCTAGCTCAACGCATGCGTTCACTACGCCCGACCCCGCCCCGTGAACAGACTCGAGATGGGCAAATGCACAGCGGACTCTCTACCTGCACTCACGTCTTCATCCGCACCGACGCAGTGCGGCGCCCTCTCCAGCCCCCTACACTGGCCCTTTCAGAGTCCCGCAACAGACTCCAAAACGCTTCACTTTAGGTCAGAATAGTCACCGAACAACGATGCCCAACGACCGCTTCTAAGTGGCTTTCTTTGGCGAACCACTTGCAACATATCTTGATGCTAGCACCCAAGCACCCGCACCTGCGACGACTGCCCGATCACTGCATAACTCGAAACTTTCAGTTTCGCGTGTCTCTGAACCTACAAGTCTGAACCCAATGCAATCGACCGTCACCATAGACAGGTCAAACGTCCGGTCTGTTTTGCAGATTTTGTGAACGTTTGTTATTTCCGTTAATACCACTTTCAAATTTAGTGGTACTCGTTTGTCTCACCCACAAACGTTTTGCAAGGGCTACAAAAAAGCCAGAACCCCTTGGAACCTTAAACAGCTTATTTGCTTTTCTTATGCATGCCATGTTCCTTCTCCGGCTTCGAGCCACTTCTCCTAACCCTTGCCCACCTCCACCTAGCTCTACCTGCCAGCAACCAAACCACCGGAACGGCCAAGGCAACCCTCCAGCGACTAGCAAACCGACTCACCGCAGCTCTCGATTGTTTCGCCGGCCGAGGTAAGGCCTCCTTCCTCACTCAAGGAACGGTCAGTCGCTTTCGGCTACGGAGGACACGAACGCGAAGGAACCTGAATGCCTGACGGCGTTGCCGACGAGGACGCCGGATTTCTTCCTTGGACGAAGACGCTGGATTGCTTAAAGGGACGAGAACCTTGGACTGAAGTGCGGTAGGGGTGACAACACCCAAGCGCACCGTCAGTTCTGCAGCAGAGGGAAAGTCCTGTCGATCCTTTTCCATAGTAAGCATTTATTTTGCCATCCAACCAGCACGCTCCATGGCCCATCGATGATCCACTCTGGTCCACAAGATCGTCATAAATAATTAGTACCAAAGGTTTGGACCGAGCTCAAGCTGCTAAACAACCCAGCTTGGAAGCCTTTGTCCAAACCCATGCAACGATTCGCACCCATCCTCACATTCCGTTTTCCCTACTAACAGTCCCATCGAAGGCTTCCATCCTTAGGTCTTATAGGTGGACGTACTGGTAGTGTACCGGAAAATATGTCCTTTCAGTATTTTGCTACATTGGATGCTACCGTCGTTTTAACCTTCAAAGTGTCCACTTGTATTCCTGACGTCACTTCCGCGGACACAAATTGTTTTGATGAGTATATAGCTGCACCGCTTTTCGCTCTGGTTGAATCGCTACCAAATTTTGTAGCCTGCACAACACAAGTTGCGTTCAGTCGCCTCCAACTTCTACACTGCCAGTAGTTGGCACGGCTCTTAGGTGTTATTGATTACCAACAAGTATCCAAGGCGGCATCCAACAGTCGCAAGTTGCGTCTGATTTCGAAGCAGATCGAATGCGCGCGGAAACAAAATTCAAAATAGCAACCAACCTAATTACCTAAAGCATTGAAAACCATAACTTTACGATATTTTAGGAAAAAGTTACACAGACGAACGGGGGAATCTTCAGTTCGCCGCATCTTTAAGCATACGACGGTAGGAAACAGTTGCCGATTTATAAGACAAGTGCTTAAAAGGCTATGGCAACACCATAATCACTTTAAAGTTATCTGAAGCCTTAAATACCCTATTTATTTAGTTTAATCATATCTCCTTGCCAACTTAGACATATGTGGATAACGCTTGCCACTTTGGTATACACTAAGCAACATACATACTAACTATTATTCAAAAGTAAACTGCGTAAGTAAAGCTTAAAATTTGGTACAGTTTTCATAGGTTTAAGCGTGAGGTCAATAAATTCAGCTTGTTTTATCCTGCCACATAGTTGACCTTCATTCGCGAAAACAATAATCCTGCTATTTTAAAAAGCCATTGACATTATGGTGAGTTTTGACAAACCTCAGTTTACATTCTTAGCCACCAAAACAAAAAGTTATAAAAAAGAAGCGTACAAGCAAAAATGTGACTGTTATTGACGGCGTTAGTACTGCTGACATGACCAAGGAAGAGATTGAATCATTTGTCGTTCTTTTAAGAGAAGAATTGGATAGGGAACGTCAGGAGCGAAATCTTGTGTCCCTTGAAAAAGATAAAATAATGACATTCTGGGAAATAACAAAGAAACAGTTAGAGGATGCTAGAGCAGTTTTAGCAAAGAAAGAACGAGAAATGGAAGATGCAGATGAACGTCACCAACTGGAAATGAAGGTATGTCCAACTAAATACAGAGAAAGGGAACATTTAACTAACAACGATTACTTTTTTGTAGTGACTTCGCAGTTATTTTTGGGTAGATTATTTTCTACATCTGTGTTAGTGCAATTCGACATATAATAGCCACCTTATTTGCACCACCGTTAACTCTATCTCGCGATCACAGGGTGATCGCATTAAATGCCACCATACGCACAAGTAAGCTATAATATGTAAAAAAGAACTTTAAGCGACATTTGCTGAACGTAAAACAACGCATATCCTTAATCGCAATCAAGTTTCTTTAACTGATGGAGAAGAGATTTCTCGAGAACCACAAGCTAGATTTCATTCCAGCCACGGCTACTTTGACCAAATCTTTACGCTCAATTAAGTGCCCAATCATTCACACCCACCGGTGACCAACAATTTTAGTGTTCTTGGACATCTGAGCGGCATTTGATTCAGTAGGTTGATCTGCGTTGTGGAGCTGTTTACTGAAGAAAGTTGTGCCAGGCAGTTTGGTAACCAAACTGAAAGAGCTTTACAGTCACTCGTAAGGCAGTCAGGGCTTACGGCAACCTCCATTCTTTCTTTACTGTGACCAGCTGTGCTCGCCAAGGTTGCACTATGACACATTTTTTTAATTTTGCCGTCAAATATGTCGTCCAAGGAGTGCTGCAGTACTGCTGCGTTAAGCTCCTCCATAGAGGCAGAGTCCCAAACTTTGACTACCCCGATGGTATTGACTTGCTAAGGGACAAACCATAAATCGTCCAGAGCGCTTTGGACCCTTTAGCGTGGCTGACGTCTAAGTACGGCTTATGCTTCACTCCGGGAAAATGTAACACCCTACTCCAGGATTGGCAAGTGTCTGAACCGGTGCTCAGCATTGTTGGACGTGTTCTGGAGCAACTCCCTTGCTTTACTTATCTATTGGGTTGCAGAATGGCTAGTGTTGGTGATGAAGTCACCCAATGAATTGCTAAAGCACTGCTTACAACCATCAAACTGAGTCACCTATGGTGTCGTCATGATGTCAGCCGTAACTCAAGGGCAGGGTGTACAATGCTTCCGTCCGTGCAACACTCTTGTACGGCTGTGAGACATAGCCTATTGGTTCAGAAGATATAAAGCGGTTGTCAGTCTTTGACAATAGCTGTTTGCATAGGATTGCTGGGACGTGGTGGCAGCACCACCTAAGCCACGTAGTGGTCCCAGACCGAGTGCTTGGAAGGAGTAGTGCCAGTCTTCAGAAAGTCATACTCCGACACCGCATGCGTTGGCTCAGACACATTTTGCCTAAGTCAGCCCATTATTTTTACTTTGAGCGCTATTTATATTCCCAGAGTGCGGTTGGAAACAGTGCCGCAGTTGACAGCCAATGACGTGGAAAAGGAGCATAAAGAAGGCAACCTAAGTCTGGCGGCAGACGGACCAGTGCGTCTTCCAGGTTGTAAACCACGAGATGCTAAAGCACCGTGGTTGGAAACATTGAACGTTATGGCCCGCACTAGACATTAGTGGCGTCAGTGTTGTTGTGCCGTTTTATCCCCAATTTAATGTGCACAAAAGCACGAAAACAAAACAAACATAGCATAATGGCGTGTATAAAATCAAAAACGTTGTATCCTATTTTTAAAATTGTGTTTCGGGTTTCTATTTTCTCTATTATTGTTGCTGCCGTGGTTCAGGTTATGCAATATTTTTAACAAACTGTAAATATAAATATATGTACTTCACTGTAAAGTAATAGCATTTTGCATTGCCTGAGTTCATCAAGCAAACTGCCAAATCACACACTGACTTGCGGGTTGAGCTGTTAGGTCAAAAACCATGGGCGGAGTCCCTTAAGAAAACCTTCGAAACAAAATTACCAACACGCGTTGGATCGCCCACTAATGCAATAGTATACCTCCGCTAAAACGCTCAGCATGGAGCGCTGGAACAAGCGCACAATACTCGACTGGAACTTGCGTCAGTGTTCTTAGCAACGCACTGCACTGGTCGCGATGAAACGCGCTGCATAACATTGATAGTGCGTTGCTCAGCGAGGCCTGGCTCCTTGAGCAAGGTCATTTGCATGTTTGGTATTGGCTATACTTTCCACTTTATAGGAAAAGCAGCCTCAGACTTGCGAAAACATGGCGTCGGAGTTTAACCATTCGATCGTCTTAATAGCCAGCTGGTAAGTGAGCCCCATGGCATCAACGAGCGACTGATGATTGTTCGCCTTCGACTCGGAAGATGTAAGTTTGTCTCTTTTATAAGCACATACGGTCCGAACATATATTTTCTTGAGGACAGGTGTGATCAATTCTACATTTAGTTCTCCTCCGTGGTGCGGGCTGTTCCGTGGAACGACTGGCTATTTCTTCGGGGCAAGTGCAACGCGTGAGTTGGATGTGATACATCGGTGTGGACAGATGCTATCGGTCTGCATAGCATTGGTTCGGCGAATGCAAACGGTGACAGGCTGCTCTCACTGTGTGCCACTCACAACCTGTGAGGTTGCACTGAATGTGAATGATACAGCAGCTTAAATGAACCCACGGATTGGTCACGTTAACCTGCTCAATCATATCATCATATATTAGCATAACATGCGTGTAGTGCGCATAACAAATTTACGGCTTGGAGCTGGGTGTGACACTGACCAGAAATTGGTTTGACAATATTGTACACCCAAGTGCGGAAAATTACCTACCGTGTGTCGGACTTAAACCTAAGGCACGGCATTCACACACTTTCTAAGTACTGTGGCGTAACCTATTAGGCTGGAGAAGGTGATGGCAACACGCTTGTGTAGTGGAATCCATAGCTACAGTGGTCTACCTGTGGCACCACATTCGCAACTAAGTGACAACTGCTGCCAAGGAGAACACCAGGCGCGCAAACTGCCAACAGACAGATTAGTATGATGAAAACAATACGACAATTAGCGCATTAGTGTCTGAGAATGGATGCAGCATTTGCTGTACATGTTCCAGACCCTGATAACTTAGGGAAAAGCCATGTTTGCAAAATAAATTGGAGACAGTGTTATAATGTTCTCACTAGACGCAATTCCAAAAATAACAATTCACTGCTCCACAAAACTTCTAGCCCAACCGAAGGAAAAAGCAAAACGCCAATGACCATGGCAAAATAACGTATTAATCACTATCAACGAACATTGTGCAACTACTGCGGACCTTGGCTGTATTTATATTTATACCACTGCAATGAGGCTGGACCTTACCGTAGTACGATGGTTTGCGTGCCTCAGAGATCCATTGAGCTATGCTGGGTGGTGCTTTTTTTGCACCTTAAGAGCCACTCATACCAGACTGGTCAATGGTTAGAGGCTTGACAAACTCAGCTTCCTGGACCTCCAGGTTGAGGGTTGGAATGTGGGTGGCTCCTCATTTCATAAAACGGGCTCTGTAGTCCAGTGCCAAAACCCGCTGCCTTGCGGTAAGGTTTTTGAACCAAAGGCTTTGGTTGAGAACCTTAATCGTTCTCCTGTCTAGACCCTGGAAACCTGACAGTATTCTGCCCACGCAATACAAGGAACCATTCCTACAATACTTTATTGATACTCTGGCCGTCGCAGAGCATAATAAACGGCGCCCTATCTGCTGCATCGAGGAGGGTGGATAAGGGTATGGATGCTACTGCTCAGGCCTTCCCGTCTTCTTATACCCCTTCTTGCGCTTCTTCATCCTTATCGTCCCGCTCCAACTTTACTTATATCCCCTGCATTTTCTATCCCTCAATTCTTGGCCCTCCCCCAGCTTACTTCAACAGTCGCTTGTCTACTAATTTCAAATCACGCACACTCGCACTGCGTCGCCTTAATCCAGTCGATAAGTGCATGTTCAACCAAGCGGACAACGTCAGTTCATCCGTTTCCCTTTGGAGTCCTCGTGTCACGCTAAGACTGGCATGCCTCAACGTGCGCAATTTGCTGCAGATTGGCTAAAAGGCAGCACTTGCCCGCACACTAGAGACCCTATCGATCGATATTTGCTGTTTATCAGAAACCCGCCTGCAAGGTTTGAGCTTCGTGCTTACCCTGAGATCCCCCACATGCGACACTGGCGGCACATTCTCATTGCGTCTGTCTGGCGATTATGCAGCTTCGAATGCCGGTCAAGCTGGCGTCGGCATTGTTTTGAGTCTCCGGGCTGAAGCTACCCTGATTGATTGGATTCCCGTAAACAGTAGGATGTGCGCCGTTAGATTAGCTGGTTTGTTCCGTGCAACGAAGTCGCGCGGAGACAAATGTGACTGTTTGTCATTGCGGCCTACGCCCCTACAAATAGTAGCACTGATTCGGTAAAAGATTATTTCTATCAGTAACTTCACGAGCTCCTTCGTTACAAAAGAAGCACAGATACTGTAGTTTTGGCTGGCGATCTGCACGCCCAAGTCGGAGAATTGTCCTCTGATGAGCTTCATCTGGGTGGCCAGCATGGTGTATGCTCCAGTAATGAAAATGGTGAGCGATTGCTACAACTGTGTGAGGATGCTCGCCTCTTTCTCGCGAGAACTAGCTTTCGACACAGCACCCGTAGAAGCGTGACTTGGCGGCCACTAGCCTCGCTCCAACCATGGACGCAAATCGATCATATCGCGATAAGTTCCTACTGGAGAGGTTGTGTCCAAAACTGTCGCTCAATTCGGAGCACGAGCGTGGACTCCGACCACGTACTTGTCTGTGCCGACCTCCTGGTGCACTTCGGTGGACGTCCGCAACGTCGATGTGAACGGACTGACACCAGCCAGCTGGCGAAGCCAGATGTTCTGAATGTGTCCCAAAGTGCCCTGACACCTGAACTGAGTAAGCGCACACTAAACACTGTTGAAGATTACTGATCGCACATCCGTCAAGCGTTGCTGTTAGCAGGCATGTCTTCATGTGGCAAAGCAAATTGCCAAACTGGACATTGGGTCTCTACGCAGTCTGTGGAACTTATGGATGCTCGCCGACGTATTCCGGCTGGAAACAAATACAATCTGGTATGAGTGGC